ATATGCAGAACTAGATAAAAAGCGAGACTAGATGAGCCAAACTAGAACAACCAATTATTTTGGCATAGCTCTGCCTTTTCCTATCAACTCTCGTGGCTAGTTGCTTTCCACAGAAGCATCTTGTTATGCAGTGTGAGATGCTGCAACCGCGCTTGCCTGCATGTCGCTGGTGATGAGGATGTTGGCGGGTTTAATGTCGCGATGCACAATGCCAAAGCTATGGAGGTACTCAAAGCCACGTGCAACACCAATGAGGATGTCTAGCCGTTGCTTCAGACTCAGAGAAAAAGGTGCATCTGCAACAAGCCACGGGATGAGTTTCACGACAAGCATCACCAGGCAGCATGAGTGGCCTACCACGAGTAACATTGTACAAGGGAATGCGAAACAACAACTTGCACACTTACTTGGTCCTATCCACATATGGAGGTCACCATTGGGCACAAACTCGTAGATGAGGACTTGGTCTATCTGAGACCTGACGTCCCCTCCCACCGCAAACCCAAGCAGTCGCACAATGTTGGGATGGTTCTTGTCGGCCATTTGTATGACCTGGAGGAAGTGAGAACCGGCACACGGGAACAGGAGGAAGGCGGCAGGAAAGAAAGAGTAGGTTGAGAAGAGAAGGAGGAACAGTGATTCTGCTCGCTCAGCTTAGGGAAGCTGAATAGTCCTGATCAAACTAGATAGCACATTCTTAGATGAAGCGTCCTTCTGTTTGAAAGTAATGGAAGACTGAATTGTCTTATCCCCATGTTGACTGACGGAGTCTGTAGTCCAGCCATCTCCCCATATGCGGCACTCACCTCCCCCTGGAATTCCGCGCCCATGAACTTGGCGCGCTTCACAGCCCAGGGTGTGGTGCCATCACAAGGACAGACGCCCTTGTAGACATCACCAAAGGCACCCGAGCCAAGCAGGTTGTCCTGAGACCAGTCGTTGGTGGCCCTGAGGACGTCCTTTAGCGAGAACTCCTTGCAGTGCGCCACTGCCAGGCTGGCCCCTGGGCATGGCGGTGGGGTGGGGGGCGAAGAGTGAGGAGGTAATGAGCGAGCCCTCGCCTTGTCTTGCCTTGTTGTTATCGAGCACACGCATATAAAATGAGTAGACATGAAGAGGAACCATCTTAACAAGGAACGTTGAGAAGGTGTGGAGGTGGGAGCTGAGCTGAACACATGGAGAACCAATCCTGCTTCTCCTACATTTTGAGCTTTGCCGCTTCTGGTGCCTGAAGCAGAGCAACATGGCAGCCAGAAGCAGGAGGAGAACGACCACAGCAGCAACAGCAATGCCGATGATGCCTCCCACTGATACACCCCCTCCACCTCCAGATGCTGCTGCTGCTGCATGAGCACAACAAAAGCATGTCAGCTGAGCAAAGAGATTCGATGTAATCTGAGCAAAGAGAATGAACTGCCATTCACAACAGCACAAGCATGGTAGAAGTGGGGGTGATTCAAGTAAACTAGGCACCGCTTCATGAACCCCACTAACCTGTTTCTTGCTGGCATGCAGAACAGGTGGTGCCACAATCTTGGCAGAAGGCCGCCTTTGGCGATAAGGTTTGGGCGCAGGTGGTGCTGTCAGCAGCAGGACAAGTGAGGCTGGTGCCAGATGTGTTGCTGCAGTGGAAATGGGCAGATCGGCACAGGAGAGAATATGCTTGGGCAACTTGTGTGCGGATGGTTGCATGCACAAGACAAGAAACAGATTTAGATAGCTGTCAACTAGGCATGGCTAAACCGAACCTTGGTTCGGTTTAGGCAAACCGGTTCGTGTGGAACCAAAGTAGAGTTATGTTTTTATCTTTTTGGTTTGACAAAATCCTGTTAGGCCAATTTGACCTGTTTGATCTCTGCTCGGAGGGGCAACTTGAGTGCAAGTTCAAATTCAGGTAAGAAATGGGGATTGGAGATCATTTTCAAGCTTTAAATCCTTATTAGCTATCTCCTCGTCACTAAACGGGGCCATCGTCCGTCAAATTGGATGTCCGGACCAAGCCTCGTTCACACCGCACAGTGGATGTCCTGTGAGTTTAAATACCACATTGATTTGCGGAGGTTGAGTTACAAGAAAACAACATCAACATTTCACAGATGCCCAAAACTTTATGCGTCATCCCAACAGCCATCGTGTTCGACAGCCCGGTTTTATTTGTTTTCTTTGGTCGTGACGACTTCGCGATTTCGTCATGCGCCATGTCGGAATCTCCCTTCAGCCCTGCTCAGTACTGCCTCTCTCTGCTCCTCCTCTCATGCCTCTTCCTGCTGCCTTCTTTTTGCTGCTTCCACAACCCTCCTTCCTCACCCTTCCCTTCCTGCCCGCCCTTGCTCACTTGACTCCTTACCCCACTTTCTGCTTTCCCTTATTTCTGGCTGCCATTGATTCAACCCCCTTCACATTCGAGTCCCCTCCTACCCCATTCGAGTGCTTGTTATGGCTCCGCCTTCTACTGTTTAGCTTCAAGAATATAGCACAGTAAGAAATGGAAACATACAAGCAATGGCAGTCCCATGGCCCGCACGACCCTTGTCTACCTCATCCTATCCTAGGCTTGAAGAGGAAACTCAACGAATGTTCCTTCTAGATCTAGGCCAGCAAGATTTTCTAACCACATCCAGCTGGTTACAGTGACTTCCAGCTTCGCACGGGCTCGGCGTTTGCAGAAAAGAAAACACAAAAAATGCATGCACTTAAGCACCAATCATTCGCCACCCCCAATGTAACCCTTTTTCACAGTCCTGTTACCGCCCGGCTGCCACACTTGCACTTTGCCACCCTCTCCTGTCAGGTTGCCCCTTTCCGAACCCCAACTGCCAGGCTTGGCCCTTCCGCCCTCTCTCCTTAGATGCGTCTTGCTTACGTACAAATGTACACCACTCCAACGTACACCGCTACACTTCCCTGTCATATAGCTCTGGTTATTAACCATAGTTTTCTGACAGCCAAATTTTGGCTATTAAGTCATGGATGGCACAGAACACGAGCGGCAGGAGCCTCCTCGCAGCAGGGGCCGCACGCACACTGGAGGAGTTGTGCTATGAGGCCGATGACGATGGGTTTTGAGATCTGGACCCGAGACTAGACACCTTCTAGTAATGTTGGCGCCGGCATCAGCAATGAGAAATCAGTGGGAAACTCTTCGAATGCGGCGATTGTGTAAGAATCGGTTTCCACTCATTCCAATACTGCGAATATTCCGAGGAAGAAGTAAAAGGGAAGCTGGTGGAGTGTCGCTCATGTAACCACACTATTAGTCATAGCCATGGTCGTTGCACTATGCATTTCACCAAGTGGCCAAACTAAGGATGCCACGAAGTGCGAATTTGTCCGACCGTTCTCAAGGAGGTGGAGAGAGCTACTCGTGAAGCAGCAAGTACGAAGACTGCTGGGGGCTGAGAAGGCGAGAGCGGGGAGCGCCACGATTTCTTCGGTTGGAGGGCACACCCCTAACAAGCAAAACGCTATGGATTACTTAAGGGAGAGGTGGCCGCGAAGATAACAGCGACGGATGAGGCGATATGCCTGTACCATGCTGCACTGCACCTACACGAGGGGCACGCCGAGCACCCGTTCGTTTGCCACATGGTGCCGACAATCGTTGTAGTGGGGAGCCTTTACTTCCCACCAAAGGCGTTGTGTTGGAGGTGCAGCTCTGCAGCAGCGTCGCAAGCGGCTCGGGTCTGCATTGTCGCCAGTGGAGGCTAAGTTGGAATGCACGCTGTTTGGATATGATACGCTAGCATAGATACGCTGAATGTTTCTTGGGAGAGGTCCGGTACGCAGTGGATACGCAAGCACATAAAAAGTGAGGAATGCCAGACAGCAGTGATGTGCACACAGCATGCAGAAAAGCTACGCAGCTTACAGGTAGTCCAATTGAGCAAGACTCCCAAGTGTGGCTGGAATGATTCCGGAAAGTTCATTTTGGTGCACATCCCTGTACAGAAGAGCACAACATGATTAGTATGGACATCTAGAGGAGCGGTTGAATACACAAGGTTAAAATTGTGTAGCACTTATAAGTTTTGCTAAAGCAACGAAAGCGTGAATTCAATCAAGACCAGCCAGATGGTTGGTTTAGCAGGTAGGAAAGATGCAGTGGCTGGAACTTATAAGGATTGATTGGTTTGAAATTGCAATAGCAAAACGACCAAATGCAGAGGACTGAATGAAATTGCTGAGGTTGAGAATCAGTAATCGTAGTTTTGAGTTCTGCCGATTCAGGGATTTGAGTTCTGCCAATTCAGGGATTTGAGTTCTGCCAATTCAGGGATCTGAGTTCTGCCGATTCAGGGATTTGAGTTCTGCCAACTCATGGATTTGAGTTCTGCCAATTCAGGAACAAAAGGAGAATCTGAAGTACAACAGCAGGGATGAACATGAAGTCACAATGCGATTCAGCGTGCAGAGGAGGGGAGGAGTGGGCATGCAGAGTGCATGGGCAGTGGAGGAGTGTCAGCAGTGATGCGCACATGGCATGCAGCACCCAGTGGACAGATCAGCACGCAGGTGGAGCAAACCCAGTGTGCGGCTTACAGTGTCCCGAGATATAAGAGTTCCGAGATGCTGTTGGGAATGGAGCCGGTGAGGGAGTTAGAGCTCAGATCCCTGTGTGGGTGAGGGAGTTGGACGTGGTGAGGCGAGAGGCTCAGAAGCCTATCCACAAAGGGTGGCAGGGACTTAAAATGATTGATCACTTTGGAAGGGCTATTGCAAGAAAAGCGGGTGCACAGGAATGACAGAGATTGCAAAGATTGACTCTGTAGTTGCGGTATTGAGTTTTGCAGAAGCAGTAAACATTTGAGTAAATTGACAAGAACAAGAAGTTGAATAAAAAAAATGAAGGAGCAATGTGCTGAAGACACCAGAGGGGGTGCAGAGTGGCCGTACAGAGTGCATGGGCAGTGGACGAGTGCCGGCAGTGATGCGCACATGGAATGCAGCAACCAGTTACCAGTGAACAGAGCAGCCCACAGGAAGAACAGTGTGCCACTCACAGGTATGTGACTACCGTGAGTGCGGAGATGCTGCTGGGAATGGAGCCTGCGAGATAGTTAGAGCTGAGATTCCTGTGTGGGGTTGAGTTGAGTGATTCGGACGTGATGAGACGAGAGGCTCACACCCCGTTTACATAGGGTGGCTGGAACTTGGAAGGATTGATTAATCAGGAGCATCAGCAAGGCAAACAGATGCAGAGAAGAGACCGAGATTGTACAGGTTGAGATTGTGTACTGGCGGGAATGAGTTCAAAACAACACGTAGGTTCAACGAAGTACAGCAAGTAGGTTGGTGCAGTAGGGCAGAACAAGGAGTGGCAAATGGATGCAAACGGCAACGGATGGAACCAGTGTGTTGAGTGCATGGGCAGTGGAGGAGTGCCAGCAGTGATGCGCACATGGCATGCAGCACCCAGTGGACAGAGCGGCACGCAGGTGGAGCAAACCCAGTGTGCCTCTTACAGAGATGCGAGTGCTTTGAGCGCAGAGATGCTGTCGGGAATGGAGACGGTGAGGGAGTTAGAGCTCAGATCCCTGTGTGGGTGAGGGAGTTGGACGTGGTGAGGCGAGAGGCTCAGAAGCCTATCCACAAAGGGTGGCAGGGACTTAAAATGATTGATCACTTAAGGGCTATTGCAAGGCAAGCGGGTGCACAGGAATGACAGAGATTGCAAAGATTGACTCTGTAGTTGCAGATTTGAGTTCTGCAGGTGGAGCACGCAGGTGGAGCAAACCCAGTGCACCTCTTACAGAGATGCGAGTGCCGCGAGCGCAGAGATGCTGTCGGGAATGGAGCCCACGAGCGAGTTGGAGCTGAGATCACTGTGTAGGGTTGAGTGAGTTGGACGTGATGAGACGAGAGACTCGTAAAAAACAGTCCGTTATTTACGATCATATAAAAAAAATCAGCTGTTCTTTTGCTTGAGAACCCAGGTCACAAATAACGAAGGAAAGAAAAAATGGTTGAATACTTTCACAATCATGGCCACAAAGGGCAACATGCAAGGAAGGGCTAACAACTATGTGCAGAACTTGATGAATTAGTACCCAGCTTCCCCTTCGTCCTGCTTAGTTATGGTCCCATGGTTTGGTGCCCCGCTAGTTTGATAACGACCGTCTAAAACGACGTTTCTTTAGAACCAAAGACCTCTTGGAACCATATTAAAGCGTTTTTAACGAGTTATTACATGCGTGCAAGTTACCTAATTACGCTTGACTAATAGTCGTCCAGGGCGATCTACAAAAGCAGATATAAAATGTTAGTTGATTGCTAGACTAGATCTACATAGATAGATTTACATAGTTGGCCTCTAATTGGTCGCATAATGGCCGTGCACGATCTAAAACGCTAGATCTAGTAGGCTGGCGGGTTGTACTGAAATGGTCCGTCAGATCTAGAAATGTTGATTCTTCACACCCACTGCTGCGGGGATCTGGACAAGAGGAGTATCAAATTAATCGCGAGTACAATCTGTACTCGCGAGATCACAATTACTCAATGAAAACACGAGTAAAAGGCGAGTATTTTTTACTCGAGAGCATTACTCGCTTCGCCTCGGACGAGGAAAAAATGCGATTTGCCCTACTCGTTATTCGCCTAAAACGAGTAATAAAAACGACTCGAGTTTTTTACTCGCCTCGTTGCCCTTGTCTTACCAAAAGGTCGATGCAGCATGGACGATTGAGGAGTGACAAAGTGATGCGGACAGCAGAGGGGGGGATGAGTGGGCATGCAGAGTTTTTGTTTGTTTGTTTTTTAAAAACACCCGTAAAAGTAGTTTGGTAAAAGCCGTCATTCTAACCGGTTTTAATCAATTCCAATAATGATTTCACTTTGATAAAAGGGACAACGTTGATGGCGAAAGTCAGTAGGAGGAAGAGGACGAAATCTTTTCTTGCATGTTTCCGATTGTGGCCATGATAGAAAACGTATCCAACTTTTTTTTTTCTTTTTTCTTTTTTCGGGTAGCCCAAAATGTTAACTACTATTCAGACTAGGAACCTCTAAGCACACCTTTAGGCACCACTCAGTTATCCCCACGGGGTCACCTCCAAGGGTCCTCGGATGCCTGGTAAAACCAGCCCCTAACCAAGGGTCCGTGTTTGTAGAGGGGTTTCTCAAGTGTGAAACTAATCGTGTGCTCTAGAGTAGTCACAAACTCCGTTGCACTGCGTTAATTGACTGATTGGCTCGTGTGCAGATAATTCCCCTCACGTCAATACGATGATAGAGAATATTTGATTCACAAAAGGTTGATCACAAACAAACGTAAGCACAGATTAATGCTAACCCACCAAAAGCGAAAGCTAAAAGCGCACCAAAACAACAGCTAGCAACATACTCCGAATTACCAACTTTCACCACGCGAAATCAGTTGGAACATACTCGCCCACGAACGTTTATGTGGGCCATACTTGTTCGCGAAGTCTCGTGGACGCTCGTGGTGCTTCGTGGCGACCACTAGTGACAGCTCACAAGTTCTCCTGAAGAAATCGCGCATTTACACGACGAAATTAAGCTGTCGTCGAAACTTCCCTCGCACACTTCGCGCCAGTGTCGAATGTTAATCGCACGCTTCACGAAACACCCCGTAGCGAAATTCCTCTTGGGTAATAAGGACAATCAGCTCGAGGGTCCCACGAAATCTAACCTGGACCCACGCGCTCTCGTCCTTTCCCTCGCGCCACTTCACTGCCACACTTGCGCGTGTGGCAACGAATTCAATTGCTGCCTCAGGCCGCGCGTGTGCCACAATTGGCATGATTGGGCCTAAGGCGCAACAATGCTCAGGCTCATGGCCTCGAGCCTTGACCACCTCGATAAGGCGAATTCCCTTAAGCCTCACGATCAAACACGAAATTACGAACGAACTCATTAAAACAAATGAAAACACAAACTCCCAAACTTCACCTCAAAGCTCACGAACTCGCACGAAATCACACGAACGTTTCACGAACAGACTCACAAGCATTCACGACACTTTCACGAACACTCGTGACTCGCAGAACACACGAAACAACACGAGCACACACGAAACTCCGAACATGCGATTGACACGAACACTCGCCTTCACTTACGAAAACTCATGAACACTCACAAATGCAACCCTTCACAAAAACGCTCATAATTCATGAACCGTCGAGGCGATTCACGAACCGTAAACGCCCAAACATAAAGCATAGAAATGCGCACCTCACACATAACAAATTACTTTCAAACAGAAAACTTCATTTACCTTCACCACCGGCGAATAAGCGGTAGGTTGGCGTGCAAAAGCTCATATTGCACTCAACTAAAAAAAGATCTGCCGACCGGCCTGCGTCTTCGCATGCGTCTACGTCTCCTTCCTAAGCGTCTTCCTCAACATAGTTTGATCAAGGTTAAAAAAAACGACCGTTTTTTTGAAAATTTACCGTACAAAACGGTATCGTAAAATTCGGTCGTAAAAACGGTTTAAATCGATTCCAGGAGGTGTTTCCTGTTTAACTAACAAAACGGCCACTTAGTGGGGCCAAATTGAACCCGAAATGCAGCAGCATGAAGGGGACAGACCCCTTCTTGCATGTATGAGCTTGTTGGCATGATTGAAAATGTTTTTGGCCTTGTTTTTTTTTTTCTTTTCTTGGTGAACAAAGTTCTCTAACAAAAAAAACGACAGTTTTTTTTTTTCATCTCCGTAAGAAAACGACCGTATAAAACGGACCGTATTTTACGAAAACGGTAATTTTGAACCTTGAGTTTGATGGTATCTTTTGGGGAAAACAAAGTATATACGTTTATTTGTAACACATACATACTCATATGTTGAAATAACCATAAAAAAGCTTCACAGCATCCCCTGGTCTGGTGCATCACCAACACTTCAAAAAGCTACCTCGTCGTACTTACAAAACAAATGCCTATGGAACAACATAGACATGAGCGAAAACTCAAACGCCTGTTCAGTTCGACTCGAACATGTTCGGTTCGTCGCGCCTTTTTTTGCATGGTATGACGAACATTGAACAGTAAAGTGTTCGCGTCTAAAATAGCATGCCAAGCTGGCGTACTGGTTGTATATATTCCTCAGAGTTGGATGTAGTGTGCAGATTAGGTATAGCGTAGTAGCGGGAGTAGATTAGCGTATGAAGTGAGTGTGTGTTTTTGCTTGCGTTAGTTATGTGTATGGGGCGGAATTAGGAGGTGCATTGTGGTACTGCCGGTTTTGGGTGGGATGGATGGGCTGGCTGGTTGGGCAAATTTTGCGAAATCGCCGTCGCGAATAGAGTCCAATGCAGATCAATTCAAACGTGCGAAATGTGAAATATTGAAAACATTCTCGCACCCAACCGATTGTGTTTCCCGTCAGCCCAGGAAGAAAAACCCAACCACAATACACCGATTGTGTTTCCCGTCATTCTCCCACCGATATGGCGCTTTTTTTTTCCACTAGGCTCCCCAGCCTAGCAAAGTCTTGGATGACTTAGGGAAACCCCATGAACATCTTCGGGTTCGCCTCGAACATGGTGATGTTCGGGAAATCTGTGAAATGTTCGCCCCTGCAAAACGAACATCGAACACCCCTAAACCTACAAAAATGTTTGATGTTTGGTTCGGTTGCAAGACATGTTCGGCATTTTCGACTCAAACACGTAGTTTGACAGTTGCTCATGTCTTGTCTAGTACAACAGCAGGTTAGAAACCTAATAAGAAAAATAGTAGGTGTTTTTTTCCCACAAAATTAGTCGTTTGTTATGAAAACGTTTTGATACAGAATGAGCCTGGAAGAAAAAAAACGGGGAAAATAAAACGTTATGCACCTTGGCCAGCAGTGATGATATGCACATAGAAAGAGAAAACCCAGGGTGCCTCTTACAGGTATGCGAGTGCATCGAGCCAGTGGATGCCATAGGGAATGGAGCCATTGAGAGAGTTGGAGTTGAGAACCCTGTGTGGGGGTGAGTGAGTTGGACGTGATGAGAGGAGAGGCTCAAATCCCTGTCCCGATGGCTGGAATTTGGAAGGCATGATCATTATAAAAAGGGCTAAAGCAAGGCAAATGGAGAGGACTGTGATTGTACATGCTGAGCTAGTGTAGTGGCAGTTGTGAGCTCTGCTGAACTGATGAAGCTGTCAGAAGGTTGATGCAGCACATACGAGTTAGGAGTGGCAAAGTGATGCAAACAGCAGAGGGGGGGGGGGGGGGGGGGGGGGGGTGGGCATGCCAAGAGCATGGGCAGTGCCAGTGGAGCACCCAGTGGCAGACGCGGTGTGCCTCTTACAGGTGTGAGATCCTTAGTAGGAGGATGGTACAAGCCTGAGAGGCTAGAACAATGTTCTTTGCCAAGGATGCTTTCAAGACAAGTGAGAAGCCACATATATGTGGCTAAACTCTTGAGGCTAGCTGCAGCACCTCAAAGCTGAGGGCAAGGCTAGCCAACCTTGCCAAGCTAGCAACTGAGGCACAACCTACATGGCAGCATGTGGCACACCATAGTGGCCAGCAAGGTGAGTATGGGATGAGTGGACACATGGCAAAGCCAACTGTCACCACACTTCACTGTGGGTGAGTGTGGTGGAGTGTGGGAATGTCATGTTGGGCATAATGAGAAGAGAGTATGCAACTCCTGAGAGATGAACCCACGACCTCTAAGACCAAAGGTGATAATCTACTCACTGGGACATTCTTGCTTGCACAACACCTGTCCACAGACAGTGGCAAGAGCTTAAAAAGATTTCTCAATTAAGGAGGGATAGAGAAAGGCAAGCGAATGTAGAGGACCGACGGAGATTACAGGGT